AGAGATCATGAAAGAATACATACTGGTAAGTGTATTATTCGCAGATAAGGTTAGAAAATAATGTTTCCTGGTTTGTCCACCTTCATGAAACATGGCTAGGAAACAGTGTTTCCAGGTTTGTCTAACTTCATGAAACATGGCTAGGAAACAATGTTTTCTGGCTTGTCCACCTTCAGGAAACATGGCTAGGAAACAGTGTTTCCTGGTTTGTCTACCTTCATGAAACATGGCTAGGAAACAATGTTTCCAGGTTTGTCCACCTTAATGAAACATGGCTAGGAAACAATGTCTCCTGGTTTGTCTACCTTCATGAAACATGGCTAGGAAACAATGTTTCCTGGTTTGTCCACCTTCATGAAACATGGCTAGGAAACAATGTTTCCTGGTTTGTCTACCTTCATGAAACATGGCTAGGAAACAATATTTTCTGGTTTGTCTACCAGAATCCTCCTTCAATAAATAACAGCAGCACATTATTTAACAGTTTTTAATTTAAACCTACAGGAGAGCGTCCCTTCAAATGCTCATTCTGCCCGAAGGCTTTCAAACAATCCAGTGACCATAGAAAACACGAGAACTTACATACGGGCACTACAAGATACCGCTGTGAGAAATGTTCGCTGGACTTCAAGCGCTGTGACGCGCTCAAAAGACATGCGATGATGCACACTAAAGGGGAGGTTACACTGCTCAAATGTGAGAAATGTCGAAGTCTTTTTGCCACAACGGATGGACACATGTCTCATGTCTGTCTAAAAAGACGTAAGTAAATAACTTGATTTTGTACAAATATATTCACGATTAAGCATGAACTAGAAAGAGAAACAAGGCGGGGAATTTCGTTTTAGACCAATCAGCATATTTGTTTACATTTTCAGTAAGCCAATCAGAATGCGTAAATCTTGACTACTTCCGGTAGAAAATTACATCATTTGCCATTTTACATGAAGTATTAAAAATTTAGGAATTCTGATTGGCTCTGCCTGAAAAATGTAAACATCCTCCGTGTTAGAAAGAGCATCTTTCAACATCTTCAAACCATCCTTTAACAAGGCTGGTTGCAAAATTTTGTAAAACATGGAATAATCTATGCCTACATCATGCAGATGTCAAAACTGGCTGTATACTGACATGATATATTTTCCTTTTAGCTTATCGTTATCGGTGTCAGATATGTCCCGAGCGTTTCACGGACGCCGACGACCTCCGCCGACATTGTTACAACATGCACGGAGAGCAGTCGACATTGTCTTGCTTGAAATGCGAATTCTGCAAACTGGAATTTAACAGTTTGGAAAAGCTCGACGAACACTTGGGAACTCATCGCCTCAAGAAGACTCACAGATGCCGAACTTGTGATCAAAAGTTTTCCCTTCTGAACCAACTTGTCGAACACGTGAAAACGCACAGCACGGCCGTCAATGAATCTGTTCCAGCATTTGACGGAAGCGAGGTCAAAATGGCAGATGAAATTGCCGAAAGGGAAGACCCTACCCAACCCAAGGGATCTTCACCTAATGTGACAGCAACCACTCAAGCCTCGAACGAACCAGCAAGACGCAAATTCGATTTTATACCAAGCAAATACCAACCACTTGTTCATACAAATACCGGGTATGGTGGCGGTGAGCTACCCGTGGGGACCTGGGTCCCACCTCACTCGTATTACCTTCAGTTGCACCCACGGGACAATAGCGTCCCACAACAACAAGCCGAGACCCCACCGATTTCGCCACGTCATCAAACGGTCTCTTCGCAGCAACACACTCCGATATCGCCCCGACAAATTCCGATGTCTTCGCCGAATGATCCAATCTCGTCTCGAAGCAACGTTGAAACTCGTCGGAAGAATTTAGACATTGCCAACAACAATCATCCGATTTCTTCCCGAAGTACGTCGAAACACTACCGAACGAACGGCGAACCATCCGAAAAGCCACCAATTTCTGCCCGAAGTGATGTCGATTACCACCGACCGGATGCGGAGCATACTCGAAGTATTCCGGAACGCTACGAAATGAGAGCAGAATCTTCGGAAATGAGTTCGGTGTCTGGCAGCAGAAGTGGGGGAAAATCCGAGATAAAGCCGGTGTCTTCCGAAAGAGATACGATTCCAGCCCGAACATCCACGACTTCCAGCCCGAACATGCACAAAACAGATAGTGAATATGCCAGAACTAGCCCAACGATAAATGCGTTCGAAGATGCATTTTCGTCGACATCTTTTGCAGCATACCACGCCATCGCTTTGTCAAGATCGATGCATAAAACCGATTATAGCCGGCGAAAGTCGAGCCGTAACGAAGCGATAATATCCCCGTCCCCAAAATCACAGACCAACTTCCACAAATCATCACCTCGCAAAGAGAAAACAGCGTCTGCTAGATCCATTTCCACCATTGAAGACAGCCGCTTCGACCCCTCTGAAATTCACAATAATGTAGATCCCTTGGAAGACCTCAGAAGACCCGAGGAAGGTCGAAGATATAGCGACGACAGCCGACTACAATCCGAGGTGATCCTTAGAAGAAACGAGCATATCCCAATGCATTCTGAAGAAATCCAAATCAGGGCAGATAAATACCGAAGTGATGACGATATCACGATTGTTTCCGAAAGGATCCGAAGCAATTCCGGGAGCAGTCAAAATCGACCAATCAATTCACCTCGCCAGAGAACCGAAAGCCGCTCAGCTCAAACTCAGGCGGACGTAAAGCGCAAGTACACGTGCCTAAACTGTAGGTCAGAGTTTTATCACGAGAGCGCGCTTGTAGATCACGTGTGCGACATTTTCTCAGAAACATTATATTCTTGTCTGGTGTGCAAGGACGATTTCGAGAAATACGAGGACCTCCAGGAACATATGAGGATACATTGGAGACAAGTGGTGTACCTCAAATGTACCATGTGTGGGCTTCGTCTCAGGTCGGAGGAACTACTAAAGAAACATAATTTGAAACATTTGGAAGACGATCGCGCCGAACGAAGCGTGTCTGACGGGGATAAAGATGGGTATCGTAGGCTAAAAGATGACAGATTACTTGATGGTCCACCAGAAACATTCGTTACCCCATCAGGTTCAGCAAAGTCTGTGACATCCCCTGTAATTTGCTCGGTCAGCGGAAACGTTGTCACCAAAACGTCGGCGCTTGCGACAGACCGTCGTAGCTCAGAGACGGATTTTGAACGAACCAATCAGAACGCAGTCTGTGATGACGTCATCTCGAGATCCGGTCCATATATACCATATTATGAAGCGAGGAAGCAAGCACCAGGCTATCTGAACGTCTTAAGCCAAGGTCAGGCTATGGTGATGTCTGCAATGCATGCTGCTATGGAGACCAGCGGTCGCTACCATGTACCTGAAGGTATCATATACCCCACAGCCCTAGGCCGTTCTCGGTATAAACCCGAACACCACTAACGTTATGTAGCGAATAGAAGAGGTAAAATATGAAATATTGTCCTGCTTTGGCGGGCAATACATCGTAGGATATTGTAAATACAACATACGCATGCATAGTATATAACATAATAAGATATAATTACACTTTCGTAAACTATGAGGGCAAAGTGCAGGGCAAACACGGTGGGTCAAAGATTAAACGAGATTAAGCGAAGGGTAAAATAAACTTGAGGTATTGAAATGAAAAATAAGATGAAGTATCGTAGTCATCTCGACAATAGCGCTTGTTTACACGCGTAAAAACGATCAGGTTGATGCAATATTGATATGAACAGGATGGAACAATGTTGTGCTGCCCACATTGTTCAGAGTTGTTATCAACATTCAACAATATTGTTACAACCGATTCAGTTTCAACAAAATTGTTCAATGTTGTTGACAAGTGTGAACAATAATGGCAGCACAACATTGTTGCATGCTGATAAACCGCAGGCTCAGAGTTTTCAGCCGTGTACTTAGTCTTAGATGAAGGCATATTTTAATACCTCATAATAAGCTTGCCTTTCGTTGAATCTCGGGTAAGCGGAATTATGTAATCATAATTTTCATATCTTCCCCAGCTCTTGAAATATTTTCACACGAAGTAATGAGATGTCCGCCATCTTGGTTGAATTTTTAATCCATAAATACTGTTTTGGGTTACGCCACAATAAGGGTTAAAAGTACAATAGAATTAGCGGTTTAATCAGATATTGCTTGGTAGATGTTTTGCTTGGAGATTTTGAAAATGATTTGTGGTTAAGTAAAGAAAACTCATTGCGTTATCCCAAAATAACAAACATCTTTACAAAAATCCAAGATGGCGGACACTTTTTCGGTCAAAATATTTGCACGAGTAAACTGTAAACATGATATGAAAAAAGGTTAAAAGAATATCATATATAATTTTAAAATTCTTTCAAGAAATACGATATTTCCTTAAATACTTCGTAAACACACATTTTTCTTGAATGTCGGTTGCATATAAGTATCCCAACATTTTCTAATCCATGCAGAGTCAAGCTCGTTTGCGATTAAGATTAGAATTTGTAATATAGAATAGCGATTTGATATTTGGGAATCTTTATGGAACTGCAGCCAAGAAAGACGGTTATATCCAGACGTTCATATAGCTTTTAGGATTGTTTAAATCTACTTTAGTTTTGTAGTGTAAATTGTGGTAGCACAGTTCGTTTGGTGTATATAGTTCAGAGGCACAATATAACGTAACTTCATTATATTATCTTTATCGAGCATTACGTTGTATTTTGCGGGCAATTTCAATGGAAAATTTTGTCGCGCGCAGAAGCCAGGCGAATTTTCGTCGAATCCGAAACAAGTTTCCATTTGGCCAACTGTATTATACTCGATGCTTTAGGCACAGACAGTATTTTTGACCCATTCGGGGGACAAAAATATTCAAATTGAGCGGATCTATCTGATATGTTATGGTTGTGAATGCCAACGATATCAAGGAATCTGTGTACACAAGTTATTGATCAATCGAACTTGTTCACCCCCCCCCTTACACACTGATACGAATATGCGCCCGCTCCCCCCTGATGATAACGTAGAATATTTATTCATGAAGCTCGCAGATGCATGAACAATAATATTTCTTAGAATTCTGACTGAACACTTCGGAATAGATACAGACGATTTTGGCGCGCTTTAATATTTTGTATCTAATATTTGGTAGCCTTCACTCCTTGCGTAAAAGCTGCCTAAAATTCCCTGTTTTAAACTTTTCATGTCAGTTAGTCTTCGAGTTAACAAAACGCATGTCCTTTAAACACATATACATATATAATACCTAGGTACAACCCTATGCAACCCTAGGTACACCTCTCTGTACCAATATTCAATATATTATGCAATCAAAAATACCGTGTTTCTCACTCGTTGAGTACATATCACAAGATATCCACACATATCACCACATATCAAAAGACATTCCTCCACCGCGACCACGGCGTGACCCACCACGTCCCCCGCGTCCTCTATTACCACCACGTGACCCTCGAGATCCCCCACCTTGAGGACATTCTCGCGAGAAGTGGCCGTGTTCACCACACTTGAAGCAGCCATCACCCCCTGAAAAAAAATATCATCACTATATAGACGTGTAGGAAGCGAGAGGACTGTTACGAGTTTCGCGAAAACGAAGCCAGTCCGATTTTCTCCCGCCAAAAACTAATCAAAAAACATTTTCTTACTTTTATATTTAATAGTTTAGTTATTCAACATACCTCCGCCATTCCGGCGGTCCCCACGCTCGGCATTCCGTTCCCGCCAGGCTTGATAACGTTCGGCCATGCTTCGTAACTCTTCGCTGACTTCCTGTGTATGGAATATAGAAAAAGCATAGAAAAAGTCCTATCTGATAGTTACAACTGAAATTATAATCCTCCAGCCTTCGTTCAAGCAAAATTGCTTCAGTTTAATACAAAACCTAGTGTTTGCATTTCAGTGGAGAATTAGAAAAAATATTTTCACGTTTATCACCAGTTATCGCTCCAGTTATAATACAGCTCAGCAGCTGAGCCATGCGTATTACGAGTAAGAATGACGTCATCATTACCTGATTCGCCTCTTCTAAGATATCGATTAAATTTTGGGCTTGTTTCCAGTCTTCACGCGTGATGAAACTCAAAGACGACCCCTTCGACCTGCAGTAAAAAAATTTAACGTCAGTTTCCCATGTTGAATCAAATCACGTTAAAGTTGTAGCATGTGGCCACTAAAAAGCCGATAACTTGCCAACAAGTACAACCAAATAAAAAACACTGAAGACAAACCTACCCAGCTCGGCCTGTCCGCCCAATTCTGTGAACATAATCCTCGATAGCTCTGGGAAAATCGTAGTTAATCACATGCCTGTAGAGATACAGTAAAAAGATATTACATAAAGTACTTCATGAATACAAATGCTCACGATATTAGTGTCATTTTCAAAGAAATATACAGAGTGTCTTTAAAGATACTGACGAAACCAAAATTACCACGATTTTTATGCAGAATATGTTGAACCTAATAATTTATTTAATTGGACCGTGTAAAAAGACGTTTAGAGAGATAAATCCTGAGTAATTCCTCTTTCTTCCCATGCAAAAATCGTTCCACATTAAATACAACATGTTGCAGTTCGACTTTCAGAGACACCAGAACAAACTCGCATGAAAACGTGAAAATATTAACTTACGTAACGCCTTTAATATCGAGTCCTCTGGAGGCCACATCGGTCGCAATTAGTACACGAACCCGCCCAGTTTTGAAGTCATCCAAGGCTTGCTCGCGATCACATTGTTCTCTGAAAAAAACACAACAATTTCAAATATTTTAAGCTCAGAAACCAATCTAGGAGGTCCAACTAGTTTTGCAGGAGCTGCGATGAAAGTTTAGTTAGAAAGGACGCCTGGCAATGGGTCAATAAAAGTATGGGCATTGTTGGGTAATGCACCTCACCAGCAGTATTTTACTCTGTCTTTCACCAAACGATTTTACTGGTTAAAAAGCAACAATCTCTGGCGAATGGTTGTCACAGCTCTGTCACACATTTGGTCACTTATCAATTTGGTCAGAAGCTTCCCCCTCTATCCCTCACACCAAGAAGCTTCCCCCTCCATCCCTCCCCTCACCCCCGAAGCTTCCCCTCTAACCCTCACACCAAGAAGCTTCCCCCTCCATCCCTTCCCCACCCCAGAAGCTTCTCCCTCTATCCCTCACACCAAGAAGCTTCCCCCCTCAACCCAGAAGTTTCCCCCTCCATTCCTCCCCCTAAACCAGAAGCTTCCCTCTCCATTCCTTCCCCCAACCCAGAAGCTTCCCTCTCTACCCGCCCCCTCAACCCAGAAGCTCTCAATTCAAACCGGTAATCGTTCTTGGATGAATGTGAAAATTACCTGTCGCCATGAATGCACTGGATACCAGCCGAAACATATTTCAACATGAAATCACTCGCCACGTCGTCAGCCCTGTAGTCAGATATAATTTCTTTTTTGGACATCGACTTTCGAACGCGGGCTACCGCTGCTGATATATATATACATATGGAGATCACTGGACTAAAGATCACTTACGTCAGTTTACGTCCTACGAATATCAAAACTTTGTCTTCAGGTCCCATTGAATTTATAAAGTCCAAAGTCTGAAAAATAAAACAACCCCGTTAACAGTTTAGGTTTCCTCCTGTAGTAACACTGGATCAATAAGAGATGATCCTTAGTGGATCTCTAGGAAGAACAGTTTAGAACTGATAGAGCTATCCAGTATAAATAAAATTAGTTTAGTTTAGGTTTCCTCCTGTAGTAACACTGGATCAATAAGAGATAATTCTTACTGGACCTCTAGGAAGAACAGTTTAGAACTGATAGAGCTATCCAGTATAAATAAAGTTAGTTTAGTTTAGTTTTCCTCCTGTAGTAACACTGGATCAATAAGAGATGATCCTTACTGGATCTCTAGGAAGAACAGTTTAGAACTGATAGAGCTATCCAGTATAAATAAAATTAGTTTAGTTTAGGTTTCCTCCTGTAGTAACACTGGATCAATAAGAGATAATTCTTACTGGACCTCTAGGAAGAACAGTTTAGAACTGATAGAGCTATCCAGTTAAATAAAGTTAGTTTAGTTTAGTTTTCCTCCTGTAGTAACACTGGATCAATAAGAGATGATTCTTACTGGACCTCTAGGAAGAACAGTTTAGAACTGATAGAGCTATCCAGTATAAATAAAGTTAGTTTAGTTTAGGTTTCCTCCTGTAGTAACACTGGATCAATAAGAGATAATTCTTACTGGACCTCTAGGAAGAACAGTTTAGAACTGATAGAGCTATCCAGTATAAATAAAGTTAGTTTAGTTTAGTTTTCCTCCTGTAGTAACACTGGATCAATAAGAGATGATTCTTACTGGACCTCTAGGAAGAACAGTTTAGAACTGATAGAGCTATCCAGTATAAATAAAGTTAGTTTAGTTTAGGTTTCCTCCTGTGGCGAAAGCCTTTCGAGGGAAGTTTTTTCGACTATTTCAGGCAGTTAAAATATATTTGTCATTGCAAAAACTTACTCGTTCTTTCTTCGCCTCTCCGTCCATGATTTCGACTATTTGGGTCACGGTATGACAAGCCTAGAAATTTACAAAGCAACCAAACTCTTAACCTCCAAAAATCCCAACAAAGATCGCAAACTCCTGTTGTACTTACGGCTAGGTCTAAGGATCCCACGTTGACCTGCACGGGATTTTCAACATACTGACTCGCCATTCTTCGTACGGCCGATGGCCACGTTGCACTAACGGAACGTGGAAAAACGGAACACGGATTACGGACTGTTCATAGACACAAGCAAAAAAATACTATGTGATTTCTTTGTGAGTATTCTACGACACAGTCTTTCGCTTGAACGACATAATGTACGACATAATCTTTTGCTTGAACCACAAGGAATTCAATCATCGGGGCGGAATGAATATAAAAACAGCAAACCTTGTCATCACCGTTTGACGATCCGGTCGGATATCGATTAAAATCTTCCTAATTTCTGGTTCAAAACCCATGTCTAACATTCTGTCTGCCTCGTCAAGGACCTAAAAGTTTGTAAAATGAAGGAATACAGTGTGTTTGTGGTGGGGTAAATTTCGGAGGGAAGGTGGGGGGTGAGAGTGGTGGAAAGTTGGGGGGGTGAAGGTAGGGGAAGGAGGGGGGTGAAGGTGGTGGAAAGTTGGGGGGTGAGGGTAGGGAAGGAGGGGGGGTGAGGGTGGTGGAAAGGAGGGGGAGGTGAGGGTGAGTGAAGTACGAGACGGGTGCAGATTTCATGTCGAATCAGAATTCTGAATTTGACCGCAGGGACTTTGAGTACACGATTAAGCCTGAATAGTCGCATCTTTTTGGGAGAGCAGAGAGTTGACTCACCAAATACGTGACAGATTTCACTTGAAGAATCTCGTTCATAATTAAGTCGTTCAATCTACCAGGAGTTCCTGAATACAAGAAAAATTGCTCAGAAATTTCACGGGGAAATTACTTCTTGTGTGTTTGAAAAGCTAAAGAAAAGCATCCACTACACTTACCAATAACAATCTCCACACCACTTTTTACTGTATCGATCTGAGCACGCCTGTCTGAACCACCGTAAACGCAAACACTATGAAATCAAAATATAACACATATTGTCTAGCATTCTCAAATACATTATGATTTTTGGCACTTCACTCGATGTAGGTAACTTGTCCCAGTCTTTCCCGCCATTTTGCATCACTCGGAAACCGTAATATAGTATTATAACTGTACCTTCGTATCCCTTTATAATGCAGTTTATTTACTTCAGTCTCAATCTGAAGAGCGAGTTCTCTTGTTGGTGATAAAACCAGAACATTTGGACCATCAGGTGTGGCTGGTGTTCTGGGAGAAAAACAGTTTTTAGATGAGATTCGTAAATTTCATACAAAACAAAATTTGCCGCCATTTTTGGACCTCAGATCCAGTGTTCTGATTGGCTACAAGGTCACTGATCTGCATACATTCCATAAAAAAAATTGCCGCCATTTTTGTACCCCAGATCCAGTGTTCTGATTGGCCACAAGGTCATTGATCTACATACATTTCATACAAACAAAATTTGCCGCCAATTTTGAAACTCAGTGTTCTGATTGGCTAGATAGTCCGCCACGTTCAATTCTCAACCTTACACCGTGACCGATACAAGTTTATCCCGAATTAATTGACTAAAGTCTTTGTTTAAGTTCATTCACGTACGATTTGGCAAATGAAAAGTTCGACGTCTGAAACGAGCCTCAATTATTCAAAAATTCAGCAATGAATACTTCTCATACCTTTCTTGCCCAGCGATGTGAATCAACGCTGGCAACAAAAACGCCAGAGTTTTGCCAGTGCCGGTCTAAAAAGATGTTGAGAGACTGAATATTTCTTAAATCGACGACAACAAACTTTCATTACAAAATGGCGGCAACACTGAGAATTTTTGTGTACCTGAGCAATGCCAATGAGGTTTAAGCCTGACAGCAAAACTGACCATGACTGACACTAAAATGATATAAAAAATCTGATAAATCATTCACAATTCCGGTGATGAAAATTCAAAACAAATTATGAATGATTTTATACTCGAGAAAACATCCGACAAATTCACAAATCAACCTTGTGTTTTCATGGCTTTGTTGGCAAAATTTTTCGGCAATTTTATTAAAATAGTGTAATAATATTTTGTCAAAATAGTGTATAAATATTAAAATATTAATGTTATCATATTATTACACTTTATGTTAACAAAATTCGTGAAACATTTCTCGCGTTCAAATTATCAGGCAAATTTGAGTTATTATGGTTATCCCGTTAATCTGACGTTAATCTGAATCCCGCTACAAACCTGAATCGGAGTTGGTTTAACAAATCCAACACGTTTCAATTCATTGAGTATAACGGCTGAAAACATGAACAAAACATGCGTTATTGGATTAAGTAGCTTCTGAAAAACTTTTAAGAGATGTAAATTAGTGAGGGTAAGTTTCGTAGTTGCAAATTCACATCTCTCAAAAGTAGGATTGTATTGCAAGTTGCATAAAACAGTTGCACCGTGTAGCAGGGCCGTAACTCAAAAATTGAAGTTGAGGAAAATATTAAATACTGTTTTTACTAACATGTTTACTCACGATAATTTTTAAACGCCTCGTCAAATGTCGTGACTGGCTTCGGAATGTCTCGGTTCTGAACGTCATCACCGACATTTTGAACAGAGATATTGTTGCTTTCTTTCCTATAAAACACGTTTCCAAACACAGCGTTAAAAATCTAAAAAAACTTGTCCATAAAGCAAAATGGCGGTCTCAAAGTATGTTTGTCCAGTTTCACATATTGCGGTCAATGACACACTAAAGACAGTGAACTCTATATCTCTAAAGATGCGAGCGTGCGTCAATGACTGCAATGCATAAAACTGGACTCACAAAGTTCTAGATTACTATGGTTGCACAAAAATTTTGGACCGTGGGGCAAATTTCTCTTTAGGGGTCCCAATTCCACAGCAAAAAGTCACAAAAAATGGTAGTTCATGCGACTTGGGGGGTGGTAAGGGGGTTTAAGGAGATACTCCCCAAGAAATTTTTGAAACTTAGAGAACAGGTTTGATTTTCCTTGTTTTTGGGAATATAATATACTGCATTATAATATACTGCATTACGCTATTTATAAAACCCCCAAACTCATTTTCTTTTCATTTGGAAAGAGGACAATAGATTTCCAACAGTAATGTAACTCTATTCCTGTAGCATTTTGTGGCCGGCAAAGCGGAAGCCAAAGAGCAATTGTCCTTCCCCCCAACCTTCGGAACCCCAGTCCATAAATAACTGTATACTGGTACCTAAAGATTTCCACTTCCTCTTTGGACCTTCTCCTGACTGATTCACTCTCTTTATAAAATACTTTTTTGATGACAGGTAAACCTTAAATAAAAACTTTAAAAGTCATTAAAAAGGTATAGGCAAGAAGCTATATATCTAAAAAATATGTGGCTTACAATCTGTTGTACTTCTATACAGCAAGCAGCTACAATACCTTCCCATTTCTTCGCTTGATTTGCCACCCTGTTTGCGCGTAGCTCTGCCCAATCAATTCTGGGAACCAAAGGGGTTTCACCTGCTTTCAGACTTGTTTCTGCAAATATGCAAAAAATCTCTATTAAAAAGATAGACATTTATTAGAGAGATGTCTGTATTAGAGAGGTGTCTGTATGAGAAAGATATTTGTATTAGAGAGACCGCTGTATTATAGAGAGATGTCTGTATTAGAGAGATGTTTGTATGAGAAACGTCTGTATTAGAGAAATTTCTGTATTAGAGAGATGTTTGTATTAGAGAGATGTCTGTATTACAGAGAGATGTTTGTATTAGAGAGATGTCTGTATTAGAAAGATGCCTGTATTAGCGAGATGCCTGTATTAGAGAGATGTGATATATAAACTACCTTCCATTTTATTTGTCACTAAATCTTGTGGAGATATTATTTCATCAATCATCTCTCTGGCCTTTGCCTGACAGTCTCGACTCCCTGAGATCTCAATTGGTGTGTGGATGGCATCAGCTTCATCTTTCAATATCTTGAAATAGAAGAGAGTAAGTTTCAGGCCTTCAACACAAGTCATGCATGCACTTGGTTGATTACAAACTTTCCCTGAACCTAGGACTACAATCTTTACAAGAAAGGAGTCATTTCTTCAGACTAACCTTAATCCATGCTCCAGATGTATTCTGAATATTCTTAATGCTCTGCCCACCTCTCCCTATAGCATTGTACAACAGTAAGTGTCAAGTAAGTGCCTGTACTCTCCCACTGCCGAGGGGTGTGGGTCTATGGGAGGCAAAGGAGCATAAAAACATATGGTACAAGGCAATTAACTAAGAGAAACAATTTTCTAAATAAGCCTAATAGCTAAATACTTAAAGGTCAAATGAGAGGATATTACAACAATAAGTCATTCTCAAGGTATTTAGATCTTTATCAGAAGTTTGACAATTTCAGACAATTGCTTGATTATTGGAATCAAATATCAGATCATTTGAAGAAATCTTGAGCTATCTTGAAGTTAAAAAATTTAGTCACAGTATGCAAAATCATAGCTAGCAATCATATCATTGCATTGACCTATATAAATCCAATGTTTAAAACACATTTTCATCAACGTATTAAAGACCGATATGGTACAATATTTAAATCTACACCCAGACTAACTGAATTGATATGTTATACCGTGCGCCATGGCTTACCAATAATCTTGCCAACATCCCGACTAGAAACCTCGATCCTCAACGAATCGCCATCATCCTGACTGCCACCAAATACCCCACCATTACGATCTCGGGATCCGAACCCTCTGGAGGGCGGTGGGCGCTCTTCTCTGGCGGGGGACGATGAATCAAACCCCCGCCTAGGCCTCCTAGGCAAAGCGTTATCAAAATCCGAATTACCCCTCCAATTACCTGAGCCATCATTTGATCCCCAGCTGTTCGTAGCACGCGAAGATCGCCCGCGACCGAAACGTTTCTCAGGAGCTGAAAATCCGGAATTGTGAGAGTTTGTACTAGATTCAGAACTATGGTCAGTCCATTTCATGGGTTTGGAAACGCCGGAGCTAATCTCCAAATCCCAATCTTCACCGGAGTCGCTCATGGTCGAATTTTGCTTTGTGTAAAGACGAAACAAACGTTTAACGACGAACAAAAAGCAAAGAAAACCCCAAAATATTCACTTTTTACAACTTGACATTTTATACAGAAAACGTGTTATGGCGAATGCGCTAAATGGTATCGATGCTTTGAATGAAAGATACTGCTTATAGTATGTCGTGGGCTCAGGTTGATGTGAATGTAAATGAACGTCATCGACAACTTACGATGCCCAACGTGATGCATTTTGGCCTAAATTTAGGCCTTCTATTTATACTCCGCTAAATCATTGTTGCCATGAGTTAGAGAGGTGTTTGGAATGAGATGCCTGTATTAGAAAGACACGTTTGTATTAGAGAGAAATGTTGGCATTAGAGAGATGTCTGTATTAGAGAGATGTCTGTATTAGAGAGATGTCTGTATTAGAGAGATGTTTGTATTAGAGAGATGTCTGTATTAGAGAGATGTCTGTATTAGAGAGATGTTTGTATTAGAGAGATGTCTGTATTAGAGAGATGTCTGTATTAGAGAGATGTCATTATTAGAGAGATGTTTGTATTTGAGAGATGTCTGTATTAGAGAGATGTCTTTATTAGAGAGATGTCTGTATTAGAGAGATGTTTGTATTAGAGAGATGTTTGTATTAGAGAGATGTTTGTATTAGAGAGATGTTTGTATTAGAGAGATGTCTGTATTAGAGAGATGTCTGTATTAGAGAGATGTTTGTATTAGAGAGATGTTTGTATTAGAGAGATGTCTGTATTAGAGTTGTGTCTGTATTAGAGGGATGTCTGTATTAGAGATTTTAATTATCTGTATTAGAGAGATGTGAATGTGAATAACAATATTTACCATGTGTAAAATCACAGTTATTCAGATTTCAGAAGGAATGAAAGAGTTGTACATCATCAGTTTAGTTAGCTCTCACCAGAATAATTGAACGAATGAATGAATAAACGAATGCAGTAAATATACCTGAGTTACACGAGCTGTTGATATCACATTTGTTTATCTCTTCACACGCACTTGCAATAATTCACATCATTAGCAGAGGATGAATCTTAACCATTCCTGACTTGACGAATTTTGCAGTTGAAAATATGTTCATATCAGAGAGATGTCTGTATTGAAGAGGTGCATGTATTAAGACAAGTTTACATTTGCAATCGCTGCTGCCATCTTCTTCTTTTGATAGATGTAAACGAATAGAGTTAGTTATGATTATTCAGAAAAGAGCACATATACATAACTATTCGCTTGTTCAACATCAACCAAAGACGAAATCGCACCGAAATCGCAAGAAAAATAGGACTTGTAAAAGGACCTTAAAAGAGGTGTTTGTAAATAATGTAGTGAAATGCCTCACTCAATACCCTATAAACCAGCGCTGCCCTTATGGATATTTTCTTTTTAATTTTTCCAAACAGTCGTGCTTTATGGTGATAACAGAAAATCTAATGTCCGTGGTAAGGGAGGGGAGATGATATCAGTGCCTCTTCATACAAAATTTTAACCATCTCTGCAGATGCACTTGGTACTAAGATTTAGTGCTGTCTCTCCGAGAGGATTCAATTATGTTAATGGCATCTGGGTACAAGGCTGCCCTTGACCTACTATATAATTTAAATGGGCCCTCCATAAAAGCAGAAAAACTATTTACCCAAGGCTGGGACTTTAAAAACATGAGTTGTTCTTGGACTACTTTCTGAGAGGGGCAGAGGACACCTGTTGTTGATGAAACCCTTGATAGAAGTTGTTCTAGGGTGGATATATCCCCCTACCCTGTTGGCCTAGGCTTCCAGGCTGTAACTTTGAAATCAACTGGAAGGGTTTCCCAGGGACACTGTATTTACAAAGTTGAATATCTTTCTAACACAGAAACATGATTATCTTTATTATGTTAAGAAGCTGATCATTTATTACAAGAACACAGAAAGTTTTCACTATATTATATCATATGAAATAGGATTCATACACTTTTAAATGTCATTAAAAGCTTATTGTCCATGTTGGCAAATGTCAAAAAAACATCATTATTTAAATTATTTAAATATAAGTTACACTTGTCTCTCTTACAACAGAAACAGGAACACTTTAATGGGACGTAATTCAGCAAAGTCTCACAAATTATCTAAACCATGCTGCATCTATTGTTTGCTTTAGTTAACTCAAGGTTGCACTATTTAAGACAAGTATTTACTGTGTTTTATGCAGAAAATGTTTGTTCATACTAAATCTCATTAAAGGTAAGTGATGCTTCTGTCTCTTACAACAACAACAGGACCCTTGGGATGGGATACCAGTTCGGGAGTGAATTCAAGGAAGAAATTTTCATCTTTACATAAGAAAGTAAGAGTCTCCAGCTCCCCGCCCCTTCAGGGTAGCACAGAATGAAATAGGAATGCTTTTCTCTAACCGTCGTTAAAACCAATATTTTAAAAATTTCGTAGTGAAATGCCACGCTGCATACCTTATGATCTTCTGGGACTTTTATTGTTGTCTTCAGATTTCCTTCTTTGCTGTATATTTGAACCGTATGATTGTCTGTTGGTATCATGATTTCATTCTGCTGGGAAATGCCCAATGAATATGCCTCCCTCGAGTCACGTTTAAACTTGTATTTCAATTGACACGTCTTGTCACAAACATACACATGAGGGTCTTCCTCTTGGATGATGATAATATCATCGTCATTGCATATCCCGATCTTAACTACAAACGTACCGAGAAAACCCAATGTATGATTTGCTTTTACATTGTAATTCTCGTCCAATATCGTCAACATGAATACTTCACCTGAACGTGTTCTCACCACGTAAACATTGTTATTCATATCAACAGCAAGCGGCACTAAAATATCACCTGCAAATTCAGGTATTTTAACCCATTTGATTTTTCCTGTCTCATGGATAATCATAATGTCGTCATTAGACCCAGTAACAGGGAGAGTAAGAACATCCCCCTGACTGTTCACAGCAGATAAGTAGGGTTTTATTTCTTCATCAAGGAACTGTTCGTAGAGAGAATGAGGCAATTCCTTTCCCATAGACTTTCTTGTTGAAATTTCCTTCCAATTTCTTATTGGGTGAAAACTACGATCCGGAAGTTCAATCGTTGGCATGCAGCCGGACACTTCAAATGAACACTTATTACTGAATTTCCAAACATATTGAAACAACACATAGTTGATTAACATAACCGACTTCACGTTCCCCACTCGTTGGGTTTTATTCAACAACGATTTGACCCCACCGTTCAAATACACCGAAAATATCTCTTGAATGGCTGGTAAGTTATGAAGCTTCTTCAAAAACGACAAACACCCAATGATTGCGGTCTCAGGACTATCGAGATGTTCCAGCATTTCTGAAACTATTCGTAACTTCGCGGCAAAAATTCGATCTCCGATACTAAATGCCTCATTCCTGAAAGTAGTGGTTGCTGTCTTGCGCGCATCTTTGAATCTTTCCTTCGCAGTTTCAAACTCTCTGTCCGAGTTGATTTTAAGCTTTTCCATGGCGCGAGGAAGCTCTATTCCTTGGTTTAAGATACCAGACTCAATAACGCTCGAAGGTTCACCTGGTTCGTCCTGAGTTTCGTTCGTTTTCTGCTCGGGATTTGATTTATCAAGAGAAGCACTGAGTAACACAACTCCTTCTTGAAGGAAATCGTAACTGGCGAGTAACGTTGATCTAGAAAGGCCATCGATTTTAGACTTGATATCATTTAACTCGCGTACGACAATCTTACGAATTTCTGCATCGGTTACATCGCCGTCTTTAAATTTGTCTGCCGTCGAGTCTCTGACCTTATTCCATAATAAACCAACTGTTGAACTGAGAATACTTGTCACAATTGAAGACATACCGAGTTTTTTTTTACTCCAAGCGATGCTGAACTTTGACTAAACACAAGACAATATGTCAAAGCAGATTCATTCTTGCGTTGAATTCCTCACAATCTTGTGGTATGTTCATCCTGTAATTTTACCATATGGAAATTTGCAGGCGAGAATCCCGCTAAGTTTCTTCAACTACAATATGTTAGTGCGGGCTTTTTGTACAAATATTCCTGTCACTTCATTCACAGAGTTTCTTACGATCATCTTAACACAATATTCTTTTCCATGATATCGAACTGGGATCAGAGAAAAGTGTATTTGAACGAGATCTAAGTATCTTTGCTAATACTTGCAAAAATTCAAAGTGTTTTTATCCTATAAAGAACGTGGCGGGGATCCTGATGATTTGTGTCATTTTCTTTCTTTGAGAAGTCTCCAGCCTAGTTCCCACGGTTTAAAATATTGCTCATTTTAATACAGCTATCAATCAAATTTTAAAGCAAAGTAAATCAGGTGCAGACTGTTGCTGACACAAGGCTTGACGTTCCCACTTGAAGAGTGAAAATCAAACTTTTCTATGATTATGAGTGGAACAATAATCACATATTTAAGAAAAATGATAGATTAAAGAATGAATTCAACGCTTATTGTCTACTTGTTAGATAGTAAATTCATTCCAATATGGAGGCGTTTGTCATGTCCAAAAAAGTTAGTGTACAGGAAACCCAAGCAAAACAATGAAAATGTTTCGAAAAACGCATCAAGTTTTACCCATTGAACTGAAAAGAACTTTCTTTTGAGTTCACTGGTTTTACCTCAAGTAAGTCAAGTTATTCTTATTAGATTCACGAGATACTCTAAACAATTTAAGGTGGAGAATACTAACGCTCTTTCCACCTCTTTGGCGAAGTCTTTTTTCTTAATTACTCACTGAACACGAACGAATGTTTACGTCTCGTAAATAACTATTATGAAATCTGACCTTAGCCAGATTGAAATGAATGAATAGTTACAAAAGCTTTGTCTATAAGGACCCTTATTTGAAAATTCGTAACTTATCAACACGATCACATCGATCAAAAGACGAAAATCTCAACGGAGATGTCCGCAACCATGATAATGAAGACGAGAATGATGATTGATGTTCAGGGGTGTTGATGTATAATTATAGATAAGTTGGTATGATTAAATATGATAATCTTGTGCTTCAATAGATACCAATTGACAATCATGGGCAATGATGGAAGCGATGTAGAGTAATGAGGTAATGACTATTCATAATAATGACGGTGGTCATGAGATCACTCTTATTTCATACCTGAGTCTGTAGTGAGGTCTCGACTGGGTCCAGTGTTCCTGGATTGTCTCAATCTTCTCTTTGTTTGTCAATAGCAACGCTGGTTTTATCACGGACCCAATGACAATATCTACCATGCGTAAAATCACAGTTATCTACAAGAAATGAAAGAGTTGCACATCATCAGTTGAGTTAGCTCTCACCAGAATAATTGCTTATCAAAACCTTGCGAGTAAACTCGTGTTATACCAGAACTTGGATAAAATAATTACAATACAACATTCGCTCTTCAAAATCAAAATCCCGCATGTCGACAGACAAGCATCAGATGTAATCTAACAAAATTTAAGTGTGTGTAGTTTGTGAAGTTTTTCTCTGCAGAGAGTTTCGACTGTCTCTTGAGGTTGTTAACTCAGCCAAGAGTTTGAGCTCGGCTCAAATGAACGAACGAATGAATGAATAAACGAATGCAGTAAATATACCTGAGTTAAACGAGCTGTTGATATCACTATTGTTTATCTCTTCACACGCACTTGCAATAATTCACATCATTAGCAGAGGATAAATCTTATCCATTCCTGACTTGACGAATTGTGCAGATGAAAATATGTTCATATCAGAGAGATGTCTGTATTGAAGAGGTGCACGTATTAAGACACGTTTACATTTGCAAATTGTTGCTGCCATCTTCTTCTTTTGATAGATGTAAACGAGTAGATTTAGTTATGGTTGTTCAGATAAGAACACCTATACATCATTACATCATAACTATTCCCTCGTTCACATCAATCAAAAGACGAAAATCGCACCAAAATTCGGATGGTAATTGGAGTTGTAAACGTTTCTTCAGAGAACATTGCTTCAGAGAGGTGTTTGTAAATAATGTATTGAAATGCTACGCTCAATAAACTATGAACCCGCCACTTATGGATACTTGCTGCTGAATTTCCAAACAATCGTGTTTTTTTCAGGAAAGTTCACTTGAAAGAGATGCCGCACATATCTTTGTTATTGGAAACAAAAATCATTGTTTATTTGATTCATATCGAGAATCATTGGCATTGAATTTAAATCTTATCTCACATGAGATAAAATTGAAAATTAAACGAGACTTACCTGGAAGTTGAAATTTGATTTGGATTGTATGAGTCATCAGCCTGAAGTGTGAGAGTTGTACGAGAGAGAGTGCAGCGCATGCGCAAATCAGTCTTTAGATCTTTACCAGACAAAGACCGCACGGACGTGATGAGTGTGAGACTGGACTGCAAGTAAGGGAATGAGAGAGAACAGGGGGGGGGGGCGTACAACTCTCACACTCCAGGTCAAATCAAATTTCAACTTCCAGGTAAGTCTCGTTTAATTTTCAATTCTACTTCGTCATCAACCTAAGTCATGTGACGTTGCACGAGATTTCAGAGCAATCAGTGAGGGCTTTGTCCTGCAGAGATACACAAACCACTCTAACTATAGCCAGCGTGATAAAACCAAGTGGAAAGATATCTCGATATATAGAGAAGTATATTATATATATAGTATATTATATATCCTAGGAATAATTAACGTTTGTATAGCACTCTAACACCGAAGCGCCAAAATTAAATTCCTCCTCGCTCGGTTTATTATAAAACCGTTGAAATGCCTGTTCATTCGACCATCCTGCGGATAACATAATATCCTTAATGTTACAGTTATTGGACGCTAAAAAGGATGTAGTTGCTGCTCGAACACTATGACCTCTAAATTTGCTAACATCTAGACCTACAGCTACCAAAACAGACTTTATCCATCGAGATATAGTATCTTTGGAAACAGGTCCATACGGTTTCACATAACTCAGTAGAAATTGCTTTCTATCATGGCTATTTTCATCAGTTCTCTTGATATACTCTAAGAGATGAGTAACGACGCAAAGCTGAGGCTCAAATGGATATTTCAAAAACTCGAGGAGTTTGACATGAGTTCCGACACGTGTCTGTTTGACTTTCTCCATAACGTGGAAAGTGCACTTGTCCGCAACGAGAATCATGTTATCGACAGTGAGAAGATGAATAGTTTGACAGCGTTGTCCACTGAGTAAGGTCAATAAGAAGGAAACTTTAACAGTAAGCTCCTTCAAAGTCAGCGCGGAAGGTATAGGCTGCTTTCGAAAAAACTATAAGACCTTGCTAACATTCCATATTGTCTGGTAACGCGGTAGAGCCGGGCGCAGTTCGAATACACCTTTCATAAAGTGCTAAACAATAGGTAGCTGTCCGAAAGTGACTTCACTATCACTTAACTGCAAAATAGAAGATAAAGCAAACCTCGCCGAGTTGATTAAGCGATACGACAAACCCGAGTCAAACAGCGATGACAGAAAATCTAACGTCCGTGGTAAGGGAAGGGAGATGATATCACAATGCCTCTTCATACACAATTTTAACCATTTCTGCAGATGCACTTGGTACTGAGATTTAGTGCTGTCTCTCCAAGAGGATTCAATTATGTTAATGGTCTTAACGAGTAGCCAGGTTGTTGTAGTTGTTGCCGCAGACATGACAAACCAAAAGTTTGAGCTTCTTGCAAAGGGGATGAGTTGTTTCCGATGATTTCCGACCGAGGTTCAGTAGTTTGTGACTGGGTTGTAGGACCACAGTAGGTGGAACATGAAGAGAGGCTGGCAAAGGATACCAAGGCTGGGTGGGACAGTCGGGAATAACTAAAATTCCGTTGGCATGCTCCTGAATTATTTTCTTTACAGCCTGTAACAGAAAACTAAACGGCGGGAAACAATAAAATTTCAAGTCAATCCACAAAATAGAGAAAGCATCAACGAACACTGCTTCAGGATCTGGCGGATAAGAGCAATATGTTGGGAACTGTTTTATATTTAAGTGTGATGCAAAAAGATAGATCTAAGGGTGAAAATTCAAGGTACTGAGCGCATTATGTAATGACAATGGTTTGGTTTCCATTCGCTATCCGGATTATGAAAATGACGAGATTCTTTGCGTGTTAAGACATTCTGTGAACCAGGAATGTGAGCAGCAATAATGCAGATAGTAACAGCAGATATGTCTCATTGTGGACGAATGAACATGGCGGACGTGAAAATTTAGCTCCGATAAATTTCTTTATAAGATTTCAACATATTCAACTTAATAAGCTGTCTAATAAGCTCCAAACTGGTACAAGAGTTATAAGTTATTTGATTTATGCTATGGCGATAACAAACAAGCTAAGTTTAGCTTGGAACGGGGACTATGAATCGTTGAAAAGGTTTGTTTATGAAACCTTCAAACTTGATGGTGTTTGGTCTCAACCCGGCGGGGATAGAAAGCTTTTCACAACCGAAGATTCGACGATCCTCTGGAGAAAGAGTAAGAACTTGTTGTCCTTTAATGGATCGAAAGCTAACAACTTCAAGAAGGAATTATGTAAGCATATATGTGAGTGTGAAGACGACATCTCAGAACCTGTGTCTGTACATGACATGGGCAAAGTTCATTCGGGTGAATCGCCTGATTTCTACACTGATATAGAATGTATGAAGCAAGATCAACAAGTGAATAGCGAGGCAATTCAATCATTGTCGAACTCTATCTTGCACATAACTTCAGTAATTTCAGAATTTCAAGATTTCATCAGGAAGAATGAAACAAGCCTTACAGAGGGGTCTTCGACAAAGTCGATTAACCATAACGAAGAAAGAGAAAATGTAAATCAAGTTATTGCCCAAGACTGTATTGAAACTGACGCTAATGACACCTTAGTGTCAGATCAATTAAAAAATTCTATAGGAAGCAATGAAGCAGGATTCACTAGTCAGTCGGATGAATCTGACGAGACTCTTACTGATAGAGTTGGCTTTGTTGTGGCGCGTCGAGAATCCTATGCCCAAGTGGTTAAAAGGCATCCAAAACCCCGTAAACCTAAGGAAAACCAAATATGGTTAATAACCCTGAAGATACTTTACTAAGTGTCCCATTACAAAGAAATACTGAAGGTGATGGCTTTATTGGGGTTGACAGAAGGCGGAAAAGAGTAAAGAAACTTTTCCTGTCTGGAATACACGAGAGCGTGCAAGAGAATCAGATCTTATCCTATTTAGAGCAACGAAATATAATACCTACTCACATTGCTCTGTTTCGAAGTCAACGAAGAGGAACCCAATCTGCTAAAATCCACATACCATCTTCAATGTGGTCTGAAGTTCAATCGGAAGGTTTCTGGCCAAGATTTGTCAAATGTAATCTGTGGCAATCGAAAAGCACTAGAAATTCCATTAGACGTGAAATCAAATTTAACACCACCCATCATGGGAATTTTTCAACATACGTCTAATGGCGCACATTCCAATCAGATTCAATAATATTCCCGTTGTGATAACCCAACGTAAATACCTCACGTTTATCAAAGCGTAATACAGGAAACCTTGTTCCTGTGACATTGTCGGACAGTACTGAGGTAAATAACACACAAAGTATTCCTGTTAGAATAACAGAACAGAGACAAAGTTCACCAAATAACAATGTCAGAACGCATTGCGTTAATAACTGTATCAGAATCCACCCTGAAAAAGCGCAACGCCCCCTGGATAATAATAGAGCTGTCCCTAATATTATGATGCTGAATGCAAGATCATTAGTCAATAAGGTAAATGAACTTGAAATCCTTAGAGATAAGTATATTGCTGACTTAATTCTTGTGACAGAAACATGGTTAAGAGATGTAATCCCTGATGAGGTTGTGAATGTTTCTGGTCTGAAAATTATCAGAAAAGATCGATTGTGTGGTAGAGGTGGAGGGGTAGCAATATATGTCAATGAAAGTATACCGCTAAAAACGCGTGATGATTTAAACGATCAACTGTTTGAATGCTTATGGATTACTATCCGCCCAAAGTGGTTACCAAGATCAATTTCAAGGATTGCAGTAGGATGCGCATACCTTCCACCAAACTAAATGTATCTGAAATTGACAATTTCTATGATTATATCAACAACTGTTATGACCAGCTTTGTCTAGAAAGCCCACATACGGCAATTATTCTAGGAGGCGATTTCAATCCAGATAGTAATGGGTTCCAACAAAACCGTTTAAAGAGGCATTGTCATCTTAAACAAATTGTAACGCAACCTACCAGAAACAGAAACATCCTTGATTTAATATTCAC